TTTTTTATCTATTAATGTTGTGAAGGATTAAATACTAAAACAACTTTGCATTCTTGGAATAAACTAAGCTCAGGCATAATATCATTTTTATTAAAAATAAGAGCTACGGCTGCATAAGTATTCCACTGTTACTGAAGTTTTTTTATGTGTTATACTGACCCATTATTTCCCTTTTGATAATATTCTTGTGTGATCTGGTATCAAGATATCACTAGACTCATGTGTTACGGGTGTTTCTTTTTCTCACCTTCTGCAAGCATTTGTTAAGACCAGAATTACTCAGACAGTTATTAAACAAGTGGATCATTATATTTCTTCTTGCTTTAGGAGAGTTACTGTATATTTAAACTAGCACTCTTTAAAGGGCAGTCTTTGAGCACATGCAAGTCATGGTCTAACAGATTTTGTAAGCTGAATTTAATCTTTCAAAAATATCAGAAACTCATCCTATCTAAATGATTGGGGAAAATACACAACCCATTCTTTTATAATTGAAATGTGGCCAATTCAAACAAGATACATAAGTGACAATGATGAAGAATAGGGAAAGTTCTTTAAACACATAAAAACAGCATTCTCTGCCTTATTATTTTCTCCAATATATTGAGCAGAGATTTCCCTAGTTTTGTTGATGTGGGCACTTGTTCTGAACTCATTTGTCAAATTACAGTCATTAATGCATGATAACAACTTGTGTCATCAGTTTCCTAAATGTATTAATTCTAACAAACTGTTTCGGTAAATTATTAATAAAATAAACATACACACACACACATATAGATATACACACATACAGTCATGCATTGCTTAACAATTGGGATATATTCTGAGAAACGCATCTTTAGGCAATTTCGTCATGGTGCGAACATCATCCAGTTACACAGACCTAGATGCTATAGCCTACTACACACCTGGGCTATATGGTACGAATCTTATGTATATGTGGCCCATTTTTGACCTAAACGTCCTTATGTGGTGCAAGACTGTATATTGTCTGTTAAGACTATGACACGGAATGTAGTACCCTTGAGGCAAGTGCAGAAGAAAACTTTTAGAGAGAAGCAAACGGGAAATAGCAACAATTTCGCATTGTTGGTGAAGAATGACATCTTCTTCCAGGAATGCCTCCTTATCATACATGCAGGTGACAGGAAGGTGCAAACAATGACTAAGCATTTGGTGTAAAATGGACACTCACACCAATATAGAAAGCTTTTAATTACGAGAAATCTTTTCAATGTTCTCCCCATGACATTCCTCAATAATGCAAAGTTACAGTTAAGTTGCATTATTATTTTTTTTAATTTTTAGAAAATAATCCTTCCCTAAATAACAAGAAAAAAACGACATCAATCTCTCCTATTATAATTCCTTCTATTTCACTAGGTGAAAAGTGGCCAGTGGAAGGTCTTCTTGGAGTCTGAACATCATTTGACTAACGATGTGATGGCAGAAATATCAAACATTTGCTAAAGTCAAGTTCCATCTTTTTGAACTTCGACTAAAATTGATAACACACGTTAGTACCAAGGTCTGAGCCGCGGCCGTGCCCCTAGCTTTCTGCTGCTTTGAAGATCAGAGACTCTCTCACCTTCTCTCGTTTAAGACCATCAGGCTCAAAAGGTACCGTTAAAATTGTTTACAGCTCAATTCAAATAAATGAAAATATAATGGTTGCATAACAGCTTTCTCTAAATGACTTTGAAAATGATACATTATAATAGACCTAGTGTTTCACAGCACACAATTAATAGCAATAATAAAAGGAATTATCTTTAAACCAAAAAAGGACTTGTTTTCAAGAAGTTTCTTCTATATTCCCAAGATTAATTGGTACAATCTTCTGAAAGTAACCAGAAGTGGTACTTTAGATTTTCACAGTTCTATCTCACTTAACAGTGTATTCCTCTGGAATCTCACTGATCTGGACAGTGTCGGGAAACAGTCAAGCAGAGCCCGCATCACAGGTGGAGAAAGCAAGTCTGTGAGCAGTTGGAATGCCGGATCTCACGTCAGTCGAGTTTAGTCAGAACCCGACCCTCTGATTCCTAATCCAGATACGGATCACTTGCTTTTCCTCTTTAAACACAATTTTCTTCATAAAATTATAGGCTCTGCACCATTCTAGCTGTGTGTGTTCCTGAACTTTGAATGTAAATTGTTTTAGCAGTCATATTGTCTCAGGAAACAAAGAAAACACCAGTGGATTCAATAACTACTTCTGGTGACAAAGTTGCATTATTTATATGCTAAATGCAACATATTAACTTTATTCTAAGGCATTTCTATTTCCTCTCAGATGTTACAGGATGCCAGACTTAGAGCTTTTAAATATGCCACTAAAGAAGTTCAAAATTGAACTCTGGGTCTACTGCTCTGGCGTGTGCACTATGTGGGCTGCCTGGGATTATATAGTCAGAGTTGCCAGACATGCTTATTTGACCAGAGAGAGATATCAAATTTAGAGCTTTCACCCTAAGAATAAGCCAGTTGTAATCCATATTAGAATGTTACAAAATCAGTCTTGAATTAGACTTTTAATGCATAATACTTCCAATTTTAAAGGTCAATTTTTTTTCTGTTTTTTTTTCCTGCATTTTGGTCTTGGGAATTGTTTTATGGTGACCATAATTCATATTTGAATATTTCACTTTTATATTTAAAGAAAATCTGTCCCAATAATTATGGTCTGATGTTGCTTACCATTCAGAAAATGAATTTATAGGAAACAGCAAACTAACAAGTTGTTTTTAATAATTCATAACACTGGAAACGAAAAATCAACTCACAGTTGATAAAATATGAGTCTATCAATAAGCTTAAATTTAAGCCTAATATTTAGTTTGATAGTCACTTTTCTCTCATTTTTTCCTAGTCGTCAGTCTGGGAGAAGTGAGGTGACAATTCTGCCCACGCTAAGATGTACTCTTCTTCCCCATCACTCCCTGAGTGATACAAGCAGTTACACAAATGCACTGTTCTTAAACGTGTTCAATTTAACGACTCGACACTGAAGAAAGGCCTATTGGTAGAAGAAACTGTTCTTTTATTCATTCATTCAATCAATCAATCAATCAATTTTTATTCTTTAACATTAGTAAATCAAGTAACTACTATGATCCACGTTCTATTTTAGTCACTGTTTATCAAATAACATGCATTCTTGCCCTCTATGAGAGTTTACCTTTGTTTCAGGTGTTAAGGGTTATTAAATATCTCCAGAAAATTTCTGAAGCTTGAGGGATGCCCTGCTATAATCAAATTATTATAGAAAATAAAAAATTCAAGATAGAAAAGAATAAGCAGGATACAAGAATGAAAAAAAAGAAACCCATTTTTGTCCAGAGTTGGGGACAGAGGTGAAACCAACAGACTGTTTCCAATGCCATCTTTAGCACTTTGTAGTTAGATGAGCAGTTATTGTTTGCTCAAATGTAAAATGGAATTTTCATATCTAATTCACAGGGCAGTGCTAAGAATGAAATAACGTCCATACTACAATTTCAGGCACATAACAGTCACTTCATAAAGAAAAACTGTGAAAATTGAGAGTTAAAAGAGGACCAGCTACAGAAGTACACAGGAATTTTCCCTCCCAGTGAGGTTCAGGATGTGCAGGACTGCCTCGTGGTGAGGGGGGTGAGGAGGTGAGGGGAAGAGATGGCTACTTGACTATTACAATCCCAGTGAGATGTGACTCTATAACTCTGGAGATATTAACAGTATGGTTTTGCCCTGAAGGAACAAAAGAGTTCACACCTTTTCCCAACCCTTACTACTACCTACAAGTGTTTTTATTATTAATTTAAAAATGTTTTTCATCAGAAAATATTTCAGTGTTACTACCAGTATGGGCTAATTTTTAGGGATACAAAGGAAAAAAATACTTTTTACAAGACTTAATATGTGCTTACAGTTTATGGTTAAGTTCTTCCACATCGTTAAATTCTTAACCCCATTTATTATATAAGAAAACTCTAAAGGAAATCAAAGTATATTTTAATTATACATGCTCTTGTGAGGAAGGAATTATCTTTTTAGTCACACTAAGACGAGAATAGGTATTAGTGCCATTTGGAAAGTGCTCCATGAAATGTTAAAGAAAAATATCCTTGTGAAAATATAACGTGTGATGTCTGTTGGTAACGTAGAATACGTAAATGCGGTGCCAGTGAGTTATCCCCACAAGGATGCCAGATTCCCTGCCATATGTTGTCTTTCACTCTAAGGAGTTTGCTACCAATTTAGCTTATTCTTTATCCTGTGCTCCAAAAATCTTGAGGGGAAAAAAAAATCCCAGAGCATTCTTAAGAGGTTTTCATTGGGATTGGAGCCAAAAATCACATATCTGCCTCAAGGGATTCCTTTTAAGCCTGGCTGGAGAAACCATCATGGAAATCAGTTAAATCCCTATCACGGGCTGTGAGCCAGAGCTTCCCCAGACCCGTCAAGCGTCCCTCTGGGACTTGAGATCAGAACTATCCGAAATCCACAGAGAACCGGGAAAAGGCCTTGGGTCTCATGTGATCCCAATCTTTACAGCTCAGAAGCATTCCCAAAACTCCCATCACTCTCCTAAAGCCAGGGGGGTAACGATGTGGAAGCTTAACCGAAGCTGCTGAACAATAAAAGAAAAGCGGCTGGGGGCCCCCGGAAACTCCCGCCAAAACTGAATCATGTTTCCTTTGCTGCTTTACACAGCAGGAAGTGCTCCACCATCCGCTTCCTAACTATCTGTTAATCAGCATGTCTTAAACTGGTCCAGTGTCTAGCTCTCAATTGTTTTAAAGCTTTTAAAGATCTAGAATAGCACTACCAATATAATACTAGTTAAATATCTTCACTCTGTTGTCAAAGAAAGACATGTTAACCCTAAGCTGGTTTTTGTTAGGACTGACAGACACTTATGAAAAAAAGATCAAAATCCTTAAATGATTGAGTTTGGGGTTAAACAAGCTCTGCTAAACTTACACAAAAGTCGGTCTTGTGACTTGACTTACTTTTAGTGACAACTCCCTCTAGGCGAATGATATTGGGGTGGTCAAACTGTCCCATAATGCTTGCTTCTCCCAGGAAGTCTCTCCTCTGCTTTTCTGTGTATCCAACTTTCAGGGTCTTAATGGCCACTGAAATCTCTTTTTTTGAAGGAAGTTTTAAGCGACCACTGCACACCTCTCCAAATTCACCTGTTAGAATGCGGAAGAACAAAACAACAACAAAGGTAAGGAATAATGTAATAAAAAACATCAGTAGAGAGCAGCTGTTTCCTCTCAATAATTCCATTCAAAATATTTACGCCTTTGACCTGCAAGGTGTACACTGTGGGTCTCTAAATTATTGTGGAAGATGGTAATCCGAGACGCCCTAGGACATCCACACCCTGGCGGAAAATGAATCCTGTGAGGAGCCCCACATATTCTGAAGTACCACACTGTGCACAACGCAATAGAAAAGAACAACGGGAAAGTTGAAAACTATATCTACTAGACTTGTCACCTCTTGTTCTTAGAGAGCTACCATTTCCTTACGGTAATCAATAGACCAGAGCAGATATTATGGGTTGAGCATTGGATTGAATTTCAGATGTTTCTAATGATTCTGTTTTTACTACGAGGACCAATTTAGCTATATACCTGGACTCTCTGAAAATGAAAACAAGAGCATCTGTTATCAATTCATTTTATTGGAGTATTGGTATGTTGCATTAGTGACATACTAGTTGTAAAGTTCTCTGGGCTTCTGAAAGGAGAACAATAATCTAACAGTATCAAATAAGAGATAGCACATCTTATCTATAGAATCACTGTAGAAATATTTTCTTAAATTCAATGTCTTCGGTAAGCTGTTTTAAATGCATAATGAATCCCGAATTTATTGAAAATGGGCCGAGTTGCTGATTTTTAAATAGTCTAATCCAATTGATATAAAATTGCCTAGAACTGGTCTGGGCAGTGGCTTCGTACACATTGTATGGAGAAGGTTTACTCATCCCCCTCTCATTCGATTTGGAGCTTACCGAGAGCAGACCCTTGACACTCATTTCTCCAACCCCACTGCGTCACAGGGATGGCCACAGAGTGGTGCCATTCACAGATGTTCCTTGCTCAGAAAGCACATCCTAATATTGTGTGGATTATTAGATCTGTTTTGTACAACATTGAAAAAAGAGTTTTTAATATCAAATGAGAGGTTTTTCTGAAAAGGATTGACTACATGATTAATTTTCAGGCTCTCTGTGGGATAAAATAACATTCTCTGTCTAACCTTCTCAGCGTGAGTTTTTGTACAAGCTCCATGCCTCGTGTGTCAGCCAGAGAGAAGGTGTCAAGAAGAGAGACACTTCTCTATTTGTTGTCCCAGGACGTGGTTCACAGAGCAGCCACAGAGCAGCAGGTGACCCTACTGATTTACCAACAGCATCACCACAAATGACTTGCTCTCTCCAGGAAGCTCTAAACAACCCTGGATTTGACTCTTTCTCAAGAATCCAATCTTGCCACTACTCAAAACAATGACTTATGCTGTAACTTGTCAAAGTCACTTGAGGTCTAAAAGCAGTTATTCATGCATTTATTTAATAAATACTCATCAACTGGCAACAGTATGACAGACACTACAAAAAACAGAGATAAAATGACAAATAGGTCAGGTCTAGTTTCTTCCCTCTGGGGAAGTGTAGAGAAGATAGCAGTATTTGCAGTAGAGTGTCCTTAGGATTACAGAGAATTAGGGGCAGAGCTTGAGAATGCTCATGGATCTTTCTAAATCCCAGGGAGAATATGTCATTATAGATGTGTATTAGGAGTAGGAGAAGTTATGATGTAAAAGAAATCACTGTTAGAATGTGTAAGCAAGAGGAGGAGTTTCTTTCTTTATACGGGGCTATTGGGACATCGCCAGAGAGCTCCAGCTCCCTTTGTGTCAACACAACGTCTGGACAAACCATAAGGTGGCATCCATAATGAACTTTCACTTTCCGAAAGAAAGCTCTGCCATTCTGTGTCAACATGGCGTACTGGATCATGTTGTAAATTTGGATGTCATCGCCGCTTATTTTAAGCAGTGAGTCACTTATTAGTTTCCAGGACAGACGCCACAGAGCTGTGGGACAGAGCATGGGCTCTGGAGCTGGGTTGTCTAGGGTCTAAATCTGCCTCTGTCTCTAATTAGCTGTGTGATTTTGAGTGAGTGTCTGAACCTCTCTGTGCCTTTGTCTCCTTATCTATAACACAGGAACACTCACGGTGTCTACATCATAAGGCTTCTGTGCAGTTAAAGGAATTAATGTACGTGAAGCACTTAGAACCATGCAAGACACACGGTGCCATCTCAGAGTCAGCCGATATGACCGCTTTGAGTTCAGGAAGGATCAATTATTTATCTGCCTCTCAAGACTTTCTGTCTAGACAAAATTGAAGACTGAATATAAAAGTTCTTTTTAAAATGCCACACTCTGTGTTAATGTGAAAGATGGTTGGAGGTCACCCTGGACCAGTATCTGTAAGGAGAGCGTCACGTGACAGCCCCTCACCAGGGGGACCGGGGGCGGGGGGGGGGGAGGACAGGGCGAGGATCCTGAATTTCCAGTGGCCAATTAGAGCTCCTCTCTGTTCTCCCTGGGATGTCTGGACTCACGTCCACGTGTATCTCCCTTCAAATTCAGAAAACCATGTTTCAATCAGGCTAAATTTTAAAAATCACAAAATATAGAAATGTGATTATATCATCCATATGTCTAGAAATGGTCATCAATCTATTATGGTAAACATAAAAATGTTAAATATTAATTCAGTTCTCTTTATAATAACTTAAAAGAACTGTGTCAGAAAAATTAACGCAGACTAGGCAAACATAATGCCCGATCTGTCCATCTGGCCGAGTCTGACATTGTCTCGTCCAATTAACTTCGCACCTACGAGAAAGAAAACTCAGCTCCCGTCATTTCTAAGTAAAAGCACAGCTACAAGAAAATCGTTGGGAAGACACTGTTGGATGTTTTTATTCAGTAAGTGCAGCAGTTTTCATTTGACTTTGGAAATAAAGTGTGGTCTACAAGAATGGGTACACTATAACCTGATTTAAGGTATACAACGCAACATTGCTCAAAATCAAATTTGTTACCCACACTAATTTCATTTAAACTAGAGGAAAAATGTACTTGTGTTTAAGCAGAATGACCCTCTGCACCAGCCTCCAAGCCCCTTCTTGCTCTGGGCCTTAGTGAGCATTCTCGCTGGTGAGAAGCCCGTTCTCACTGCTTTCAGAAGAGAAGCGTACTAAACACACATTGAACAAGCTGGTGTCTCAGCTGAGCACTGTACGTAAGTTATCTCAATTAATCCTCACCAAAATCCGAGAAGAAGGCACGACTGTGAACAGCAGTGTCCAGCGTGGACTTTGAAGCTGGAAAGTACAAGCTTTAAATTCTGGTTTCCTAAGTAATAACTACGTGGCCATGGGCCAGTCAAAATTCCAGCTTTTGTTTCCTCCTGTGGTGAGGTGGGGATAGTGACACCTATCTAAAAGGCTGACACAGTTACATACCACGGGGACATGGAGCACAGAACAGCAGTGGAGTAAGTATTTTCTACCTTCGGAAATTTTCAGTATTTAATCTTTGAAATAATGGTTAGATTGAGGAATAAAATTAGCATTTTAGTCATTATGAATTCCTCACTAATAAAAATTTACTACTTTGAGAAAGTTAATTCCTGGCTCAATTTTAATTTTGTCATTTGCAATATGGGTATAATTTTCCTGATTATTCAATGTATAAATAAGAGTTTTGTTAAACCTATCTCTTTGTATAAAACCTTTGACAGAAAATTAGAGAATTAGCCCACATACATACAGTCTTTCTGTTACTTAACTGACTGTGAAAGTTCTGTCATTGATTGAAAGATTCAGCATTTTAACAATGGAAGATAGCTGCTAATCAATTGTTTAGTTATTAATTTTTTATGGACATTATTTTTAAAAATTAAAAAGGTTACAGGAAGTGGTTAAGTATATAGATGAAAGAAGGCTGGACACGAGTGGATTGTTCCTAAGTTATTGTAGAAACGGGTACATGCAGGTTCATTATACTATTATATTATATTGTATATTATGTATATTATACTGAAATCTTCCAGGAGAAGCATAACCGACCTTGAAGATAAACCTATTTGTAAACAAAATAGGCACAGTTTTATTGCCCTTAATGTGGCAAATGAGAATATTGGCTACAAAACCCTGAAAATGAGGCATATGTCTAATTTTTTTCAAATACCTTGGAATAGAGAAAAGAAAAAGAAGACCTGTACTAATCTTTAATGCACATCAGGAAATATTGAGTAATTCAGTCTAAGTAGCCCTTCCCTCTACCTCATTTCTCAGATGCCATTTTTAACCAGTGTGTTTTGTCTCGCACCACTGGCTCCCCATACGTGGCTCTGTCAATAACAGATAATAAATAACGCACTGGCTCTGCGTATTTAAGCTTTTACTAAGGCACAGGGCCCCAGATTTCAAGGTCCCAGTGTGTCTGTCTGGCCTTCTGGACACTGGCTGAGCGTAAGTGGGTTTTCCTCCTCTCATCAGATTCCCCAGTTGAGTGTGCAGGCTTTTGCTGCACATGCCCTGGGGGCCTCCGAGCTGGAGCACAGTGCACTCTCGTGCGGCAGCACTAAAACCAGCATGACAAACCCCCGCAGCACTGAGCAGTCCCAGAGCAGAACCGTACAAATGAGAGTAATTAATATACATTTGTCTCAACTGAAATAATACAGATGTACAGCGACTGTGCATATTCTTAAGTCTCAGACTGTGAAAACAATAAGTACCTACTCTCGTGTCCTTTCATGAGTCGCTAGTTTCATATTTTAATATTACCTGCATATGTCAGTTTTAGGAGGATAAAACATTTAAAAAGTTAGAAGAGAAGATTCAGTAAATTATTACTTTATTTAGATAACATGAATTACTCAGATTGTCCCGCTTGAAGAGTAAATACTGCTTGAGTTCTAAATACTACTTTGGTGTATAGAAAAAGAAACAGAGAAAATTATATGCACACTTGTGTAAAGAAGCATCAGCCATAAACAGTACCTGCAGAAAACGTGATCTGATAAGTTACGATACGATTCAACGAGTTAATTTCTCAGTTTTTCACTCTATTTCCCACATCACATAACTAGTCTGTGTTTGTTTCTAGAGCAATAGTGAAGAATGAAATGAGGGTATAAAACTATCGTACAGCACTGTTTTATTCAAATACACACTGCATGTACTGTGGGTGTTCCTATGTCTAAGTGTATAAAATACTGTTATTTTATAAACATCTATAATTTAATTAGAAATATGCAACTGCTATTAATCATCACTCCATAGGTGTTTGTTAATGAATTTATGATTGAGTAAATTACTGAGTAGAACAAAGAGATATCAATATGAAAACAAGCTTCAACACAAATCAAGACCATACAAAGTTACAGGCAAATATCAAAATGGAGCACTTCATGTTATTTAAACTATCCACTCAAAATAGAGTTGTGATGAAATGTGTCATTTATGATTTTATTTTGTTGTTTATTTTTTTAATTCCAATGAGGATTCCAAAATAACCTTTTTTCTACAAATCTAAATTTTCTCTTAGTGGGCTTATTTAGAGTGAGACACACTTTTATCCTCTTATCCCTATTTAGCCAAACAGGCTTTGTGACACGTGATCAGCGTAGCCCCGGGAAGATGGAGCTCTTGCTGCTGCCGCCTCTGAAATTCAATAAATAAAAAGCTGGCCACAATCTGTGAGTCTGTAAGTCTGGCACCTTTTAAATCATTACATTCCATTAAATACTCCGTCATTTATTTATTGCCTGCCTTCGGTCATGAACTCAGAAAATATCCCATTCCTAGTAATATACTCAGGCCTGAGAACCTGAGCCATCTCAGCATTCTTATTCATAGTTGTAAACTTGTACCTAACGTGCTAGGTGGGCAGTGGAATTGCTGTGGTGGTTACCTGCTCCAACAACTTTGTCAATAGATATGTTGGTGGCGTCCAATTCCTTAGCAAACTCATGAACTGCTTGGGTTGGGTCTTCGTATGTGTGTGGGTCAACATAAGTCCTGAGACCTGGAAGTTTTACTGTTTAGGGAAGGAAGAAAGGCATTATTGTAGCTAGATTTATAAAACCTTTACTGAGCAAATATCATGATAACATTATTGGTTAAAAAAAATTCCCCATTATAGTAAAGCGTACCAACCTTTAGTTTATTCTGAGGAATCACAGAAATTGACAGATAGGTTGGAAAAGGCGTTGAACAATTTAAGAAAAGAAGTTCCCCGTAACGAAACATAAAGAGGAACCACAATGAGCTTTCTTTGCAAAACCACTAGGAGGAAAATGGACATTCAAGGAGGTGGCTCTTAAGGAGAAGATAGTTCAGAATCGAGCAGGCCCAGAACTACCACCAGCAGCACTAGTGAGTGAGCGCTGTCATGCTTCCGCACACTCACGAGTCTAGGAACAGCGCAGGAGCTAAACGTCTACTGCACTGCAACACCTGACACTGTGAGATGCCTCCACAGAGTGAGACAGCTGCTACAACTGTAGATAAATTAATTAAAGGGCAGACAAGGGCATGTCTTCTGTCTGACACTATTCTGCCTTCACTAAGACTCACAATCAAAATCCCCCTGCAATTATTGATCTACTGTAAGCTGTGAGTGTATGTGTATATAAGATGGGTATTATATGTGTATACCAATATAGTATCAATTAACTGAAATCTTATTGTGTAGCTTTTCAACACAGTTACATGCAATAAGTATTCTCTATAAGTTTAATAATGGTGCTAAGGAGCTAAATTCTAAACATAAATCATATTTATAGTTTATTAACTATAAACTTCCTTCATAATATATTTATTTATTAAATTACTCTGAAGGTGAAAATTTTTCATGATGTTCTGTAATTAAAATAGTGAGATTATTAAATTTAAAATAACAGACAAAAGACAGAGGAATCATTTTGGATTTGATTTAATATTAATAAGATTCCCATCATTTAGAAAAATAACTCATATTAGAAACAATTTGGAATGTTCAGTAAACTTTCTCTGAAAGAAAACTGAACCTTTAAAAAGGGAGCCTAAGATCTATTAAATGACATACACATGCTCTACCATTAAAGGAAACTGTAATTTAACTCTCATAGTAAATGTACTAATATTATTGATTTTGCTTTTAATTTTGGTAACATTGGTAAAAAAATACTGGTACCATTGCTTTAGCAAGGGACATGGATATTTAATGATGATATATTTTTTCATTTATCACACTATATTACTGAGAATTTTTTTAATCCTAAAATAACAAATAAGATCAGACATTATCTTTTCCAATATCACTTTATAATAGAAAAATTTTATTGGCAAAATCACAACTGAACATTCTATGATGACCAAAGATTTATTTGAGTCAATTTTGTAGTTTGCGTGAAATAAGTGTAGACTGTGATGACAGCAATCGTTCTGAGAGCCTTCAGCACAACGGACATGACGCCCATGAGTCCAGGATTTCAGTCTGGACTAAGAAATGATCAGCTCATTGACCTACAGGACCACTTCGTGAATGCCATGGTTACAATCTAATGTATTTCTTCGGATGATTTTGAGACAGCAGAACAGAAATGGAAGGGTGAGGGAGCAGACAGAGAAGGAAGGAGAAGCAAGGCTAATGCTGCTCCTACTTTGCCTGGTGTCGACACTGGGGCAGCCGCCTCTGTCCTGAGACAAGAGTGTAGACAACTTGAGAAGACACCCGCTTCTACTCTAGGGAGTTGACTCTAGGGAGTCAACATCCACAGAAACAGGGACACTGCGTGTCCCGTGCCCTTGCTTTGAGCAAACTGTGAGTGGAGTAACTTCTGAAGTGAGAACGCTAGTTTTGAAGTTTTTCCATTTTGAATAGCTCAGCAAAAAGAATTAGCTATGCATCAGAAAAAGAAAGCTCTTGAAAACTTGCTATTCAAATGCCTCGCATGAGGGGTGTTAATGTGGTTAGCACTCAATAAATTATTGTCATTATTAATATTTTCATTGTCAAGAATGTTTATTCACAATTATTATCATTGAGGTTTCCTAGTGATAGAATTTGGGCTCAGAAATGCCCACTTCCTTTGAGCTCACAGATCAGTGTGCGTGCTTCTGCCATATTATAAACATTATTGCTTCCTATAAAAACAGACGGCAGAGTCACTCTCTAATACAGTCACCTACCGTAATTTATTATTACACTAAAACCACTTCTAATATTATCAGTACTAAAACACTTTACCCTTAAAATAAGCAAACTGATTAAGGAAAGCTACCATACTTTTCTTGCTTTGGAGTAAGGAAAACAGTAAAAGTAACCAGAGACTGACTACAAGATGTAAGGAAGTAAAGTCTTGTCAGAATCTTTTTGTTCAGTCACTTTAGTTACATTTTAATGAAGAGTCACATCAAACGGAGGCTATTATTTGTGATCAACAAGTTTTGATTTGTCTCTAGTAATAGAAAGGTCGGGAAACGGGAAGGCAAGGAAATCTAGCATTCCTTTTCAAGGAAAAAAATAACAGTTTAAAAAATAAGGTCAAACAAAATTTTTTCTGGTAAACAATTACAAATGTTTTACTTTGCTGGACTTAAGGAAATCAATTTGGGAGAGACTACTGGCACCAGAATTTACAAAGAAGATTATAAACAAGTTGTCAGGAACAACGTCTCAAATATTTAAATAAGCAGTGTCTTTTCAAAGCCTTGAAAGTGTGTTTACCCTTTTGTACCTGTCACCCTAGAGAGACATAAATTACTAAATATTCTGAAAATTAAATAATCATTCCCAAATAAAATCAATCAAATTCATCGCTATTAATTAAAATCAAGTAAATTGCTTTTCTATCCACATGACATTTGGGGAACAATACAAATATAAACATACACACATCCCCAAGTAAAATGGCCTGTTCACTGTGGGAGATTTGGCTGCTGATTTTTAACTGCTGACCCCAAAGGTTCCAGGAATCAGGTGATTCAGGATGCAAGGCACATAATCCCTTCACACCAATAATTAAGGGCAACACACAGAGTAACTGCGCTCTGTCAAGAAAACCAGATAATAAACACATGCACACGTGCTAAGCTGCACTACTTTACAGCTCGTTCTGTGCAAACACAATAATTTACATTTCCATTTTACCAGCATGAGTTGCCCTGAGGATAGCACAAAAGTAAAAAGGCCCAGCCAGAGAGGGCAAGGGGACAGGATCTTAGGAGGTGAAACACATTTCTTTCCTTTTGAAGCAATATTATAGGATTTGTAACAAGGCTGGAGGGAATAGTTCATAGCTAGAGCTTTTTAAAGTAATACCAAATAAATGGTCTGAAATAAACCAGCTGTGGTAGTAAGACGCAGAAAGTTTATGACATGCATATGAGTGACTTTAGGGCCTTGCAGCTAGGATAAAATGCATTTCTTTTTTGTTTGTCTATCATAAGGATATTGTGCATTTGAAGAAAATTAAAGTTTCGACAAACTTCACCATAAAAACCAACAGCTGAAACAGATTGGAGTGATAGAGAAACCTGCTAGCAATTGGCACACAGAAATTTATCAATGCTCCAAATTCATGAGATTTATAATTTAAAATTCCTAAAGAACGAATTCAGTATAGTCTTGCTCTAAAGACAACATTTACATCGACTGTCCAACTCAAATTAAGAGCAACCTCATCCACAGGACTGTCACTGCTCTGACTAATTTCTACATAGTGACTATGACGTGGTGTTTTGTGGGACCATGAAAAGAAGCTAGACAAGTATCCCGTAGTTTGTTCATGTACTCTTTTAAGACTTTTGAGTTGGCAACCTAAGTCATCCGGAATGATGAGATGTTCATATTTGGAAGGTAGTACTTTGGCTTCTTTGTGAATTATTCTAAAATGACTGAAATGAAACGGACAAAACAAACACCACTCTCTGCAAACCCTGGCAGTATCCATCCTACATCAATTAGCATTTTGGAAGACATTCTTCTTTTTTTTTCAAGCTACTGTATGCTTCCTGCATGTTAGCAACAGGTAATCAGGTTTTTAACTTGAGTTATAAGTAAAGCTATCATTTGTAGATGCAAAGCCAATGACTGATACAAAACATCATGTTGATTTGAAAATAATTTAAGAAGGCAACGGTGAATGCCAAAGAAAGTCATGCTCACGAGACTACATTAGTTATATTAAGATTCTCTGAGAGCACACAAGCATGACTATAGTCTCCATACTAATTTCCACGATAACATGCCATTCCTTTTAAGGCCATTGACTGGTAATTGCCACATTAAACTGAGCTATGGTTTGGAAAAGAAAAGTACCTGGGATGATTTTTTTCACCAGAAGAAAAACAAACGAGTCTTTCTATTAGATATAAAACTTTTGTTTTCTAAAAGAGTATTTCTGTCAGAAAATATTAAAAAGAGGCTAAATTGGTTGGTATTAAAATATGGAGGAAAAGTGCTGGCTTTCCTACCAATTGGATATCACATAACACCAAAATAAACAGTTCATTCTAAAGGCTCTCTCCTGGTTGGTTGACAAAATGGAGGAAGTCACGTCTCATAAACAGAGATTGTTTATCTTTACGTGGCAGTTAAGAAAGGGAAAAGGCTCTTATTTAGATTGTAGCAAAGGACAAGTAATAAGGAAATTGAAGATACCCTTTGCCTTTTGGCTGCAAAGCTGACTACAGTACATGCTCCTCATCATGGGCATTATTTGAATATAAACCACGAATTCCCCTTCAACTTAGCTTAAGTATGCTGAAATGTGGCCACGTAAAATTTACTTAATGTCAAGCCATGAATTTCCTTCTCTGTTTAAAAGAAGTTTAATTTGTTCCATTTTTCCATAAAACCACTTTTGAATTCTCTTTGTCAGGGGGAAGTTATGTAATTATAAGGCAACAACTGCTAAAACTAAAATGGTAAGACCAAAAACAGTTCAGAAACTTACAATGTCCATTTCCAAAATGAAGTCTTTTTTCATCTGCACCATGTTTTGACTTGTTGTAGCCACAAAACCTAGAGGTAAATCGAGGGAAGAGAATACAGACAGAAAATGTACTTAAAACAATGATCTCTGCTCAGAGTGTCCAAAGTACCAAAAATAAAGTGTTTTCCTCAAACAATTAAATGCTTTAGTGCAAGTTTAATGACTTTATATTTTCTACATCCTCTGTAGAAAGCCTCTGTCTCAGGGGACCCTGGAAAGCTGCCTAATGAGGGGATATGTAGAGTTGCTTCCCCACTGTGCGGACCCCTTCAGTTCAGTTTTTATAATCACCTTAGAATGTGTTTATAGTATTTTTTTTAACAACTGCTGTTAGGAAGAATGAAGGGTAAAGTCCCCATTGTTAGTGATTAGGCTGTGCAGTGTTCAGTGTTCTGGGTTAGAAAGCGTCAGGGAATCTGGGGTACATTTGAAGAGTGAGGGATAACTGGAAAAAGAAAGTAAAAACCAGGAGTGAAGAGAAGTGGTGTGTGTGGGAGAGTGGGGTGGGAATTTAATGGAAAAGAGAAAATCAAAACTAAAATGGAGAAACAAAAGAAAGGGAGGGAAAAAAAGGATCCAGAATACAAACAGAAATATTCTTATTTATCATGCTTTATTGACCAGACTCTTCGGATTTTAGCAGCAACTGAGGGCAGCAAGCAAAGCAATAATGAACGTAAGTCTTAGACTGTGGCCTCACCTCCCGATCAACACGTAGGCGACACCTGTAAGGAGGAGGACTGCTCCTGCCGCCAAGACAGCAGTCACGACCACCTGGCTACTCGCACCCGTGATGGAGAAGGCTGTGCGGTGGAAAGAGAAATAACAACACGCTGGTATTCACACATCCGAACTAACATCTACATACAAAGCTGATGAACGGGCATATTTATTCTGCTGAAATACGGCTTACCTGAAATATGGCTTACTGTGTGATACAATGAAAAAAGAATTCTACACTTGGTGTAAAAAAAAAATAGACATTTCCTAGAATTTTCCTTGAAATTTCTATCTAGTTAATAAGAGAAAATAGTTTCAATGACATCAGTCAAACACTATTTGAGTGTCCACTGTGTGAAATATGCTAGACTCCTTTTCTCTGTCCTCATTGGTAAGAAACGCATTGGATAAACCAGAAGTTATCAGAGGAACACAGAGAACCGGTAAGATTTCCCAGAATGAAATTATGAAAGCTTTCTAATTAAGCTAGTTTAGCCTCCAATATCTATATTTATTTAAAAGGTGGTATAACATGTGTCCTCTGGACCTCAATGCATACAACCAATAAACTGTTCCTCTCCCTGAATTACCTGCCTTTGTAAATGGCCCATCACTCATTCACTCTCCTAGACAAGATGTTGGCAAAAATGGCTTCGGAGCCAAATCTGGCCTGCCGTAAGTTTTTGTATAGCTCAGGAGCTTCGAATAGCTTTAGATTTTTAACGATTTTAAAAAATGAAAGAAGATTTTGTGACGTGAAAATTATATAAAATTCAATTTTGGTGTCCGTAAATAAAATTGTATTGGAACACAGCCACATTCATTTATCCGTGTCTTATCTATGGCTGCTTTTATGCTACAAGAGCCAAGCTGAGACTGTATGTACACAAAACCTGAATATTTATTACCTATCCCCTTACAGAAAAAGTGTACTGACTCTTGACCTTGACTAATGCTTCTCTAACCTTAATGTTCATACAAACCACTTGGGGATCTTTTGGAAAAAGCAGTTCCTGACTCAGTGGTTCTGGAGTGGGGACCGAGACTGCATTTCCTAAGAGCTCCCAGTGACGCCAACTGCTGACTCCAGACAATGGCATTTTGAGTGGCCAGGCTGTGGACCACAAATACTAAGTCACCTGGTCCTCTTCCCTCTTCTGATCGTTCCATATCCAATCGGTCACCAAACTCTTTAAATATCTTAGTTATATCTTCTGTTCTCTTCTAGATTACAATTAGAAATTCCTAATTGGTCTCCATTTGTAAGCCTTTCCCATCTTTTAGCTGGCCACCAGAATATTCTTTCTAAACCATGAATTTGACCATGTCATTTTCATTCATGAAAATTTTGCAGAGCTCTTCATCACTTTCAGGATAAAATGAAAATTCTGTAGCAGAGCATGTAAAGCCATTTAGGATCTGTTCCCTGCTTAAATCCCCAGCCTCCTCTGCTAACAAACTCCACAAGCACCTAATCTCTAGACTTTCTAAATACATGTAGTTCCTGGAACAATCCTTTCATATGCTCATACTTTAACATATATTGCTCTTGAAGTAAACGCTGATTGAACAAATGAATGAGTGATGCATCAAAAGAAGAGCTTATGGGGCCAGCCTGGTGGTATAAGCGGTTAAGTGCACCCGCTCCGCTGCTGCGGCCCGGGGTTCGCCGGTTCGGATTCGGGGGCGCACGGACGCACCGCTTGGCAGGCCACGCTGTGGCGGCGTCCCAGATAAAGTGGAGGAAGATGGGCACGGGTGTTAGCCCAGGGCCAGTCTTCCTCAGCACAAAAGAGAAGGATTGGCAGATGTTAGCACAGGGCTGATCTTCCTCACAAAAATAAAAAAAAGAAGAGCTTAGGGGGCCACCCTCGTGGCTGAGCAGTTAAGTGCACACGCTCCGCGGCTGGAGGCCCAGGTCCGGATCCCGGGCGCGCACTGAGGCACTGCTTGTCCCGCCATGCTGAGGCCGCGTCCCACGTACAGCAACTAGAAGGGTGTGCAACTATGACATACAACTATCTACTGGGGCTTTGGGGAGAAAAAGGGAAAAAAAGGAGGAGGATTGGCAATAGATGTTAGCTCAGGCCCGGTCTTCCTCAGCAAAAAAAAACAGAGGAGGATTGGCATGGATGCTAGCTCAGGGCTGATCTTCCTCACAAAAAAAAAAAAAAGAAGAAGAGCTTAGAAGAGAGAGTTTGATTATCTGAATAATACCATCTCCCGAGAAGTCAATATCACATCTTCAACCTGATCAATATCTAAGTTTGGAAGATATTCTCTAAAATAATGCAGTTTGTGTAATAGTTAAATGATGCAAGTAAAGAAACACAGCAGATAGCCTGTTAGAAATCATCTAAGCACATGCAAAAAGAGCTCTGAATGTGGTAGGATGGCATACTCATAACATAAACTGTTACAGCACTTTCTTCTTTACTACCAGCAAACCATTGTTTACAGCATTGTGGCAGGCATGAGAGGGCTGCCCGGATCTCCCTGCTGCCAAGTGTGCAGGGGCAGACGGCCTCCAGCCGCTGTACCTTCAAGATCCACCACCGTCTTCATGCACAGGCCATGCTCCCCTCAGTGACTAACCGCGGCAAGGCGCCTGGAGCCAGGCCCTGTCTGCCCAACACAGGACTCCTCCAGCATGCAGTCTCCACTCTGGGTCTGCGGCTCCCCGCCCACTTGGTGCGACCTTCAGAGCCTCGCTGCTCTGAGGCCCCTCCTAACCCTCTCCTTCCCTCCTCGTCTTCACAGATGGCTGGCCTACCTCTCAGTCTGAGGCACTGCTTGCCTGCTTCTGCTCCTCCTTCTTGTACCCTTCATAGGTATCTCCCCCTATAAAGCTCTTGTAATTCCATCTTAACATCTCCTTCCCAGAAGACCTGGACCAATACATCCCCGTGCACGGACTACAGCTCTGCGAACAGTCTGTAAAATAGCTTAGCCTAATGTTCCAATGATGCTCCATAAACATATGATAAGGACTCTGTCTCATGTTTTTCATTTTGTATACTATAATAACTCACAAAGAGCAGCAAGTTCTGGATTCTCTCATAATTTTGATTAGCCAGTTTACAAAACAAAGCTCAGTGACACTGGGCAGGGAAGCACGGCAGGAGGCAGAATTCTCTACTCCTTTTTCTGTCCAAGACAGGACTGAACCAGGACTTCTCTACAATTTCCTCTAGCTCCACATATCCATGAATCCCAGAAACTTTCTGAAGCACAGAATCATTTTTGTTACTGAGATTAGCAAACATTTGAATAATATTGATTAAATACGTGTTATAAAGTTGTCTAATAATGTTAAAAATACTGTTAAAATTATTATATTTCTTAGAAAATCAAGTTGACTGTGTTTTCCCATAAGCAAACTGCTCCCCTGTTTCTAGTCACTTCCCATTTCAGTCCATCCTGCACACACTGCTAGCATTCTCTCCCTAGAGTAGACTGGTTAGGAGTTCATTTTCGTGAGCCAAAATGCCTCGGTTTGTATTTATTTGCTATGTGACATAGCAAATAAACATCCAATAGAATCCTGCAATTCCCAAACTGAGCTTTATCCCACATAATTTTGCTCTTGAAATTCCTTGGATGTTCAAATTATGTACTATTTATTTAAACACAAAACACAGGCACACACTGAGCACCTACCATACTAGGCAATATTTCAAGCACTTTACAAATAATAGTTAATTTAATCAACATAAAAACCCTGTTGAGTTATGCATAATGATCTTCCCCAACTTCCAGACAGGGAAACTGAGGCACTGAGAATTGAGGTGGCTTGTCAAGGTCGTTCTAATAAATGCCAGTTGGCTCCAGCGTGCTCCCTGTCAACCCATACCCTGGGCCTGCCTTTGCTGGGCACAGGGCACGGCCACGGAGCAGACTCCGCCCCCGAGGGCGCCACGGTGGGGCTGTCCACTGTCCGGATGCCACACCCGTGCACCTCCTGCTTGGCGGGCAATGCCTTTCTCTAGGGAAGTCCTTTGACTCCTACACACTCGACGCTTTCTATGCATCTTTTTAAAACAAGTTTAACATCTTTTAAAAATTTACTTTATTCTTTTATGTGCAATAGCAGCACTGGCTCAGTACTCCAGAATCTGGAGATTTTAGGATTATTGATCCTAGCTATGCAACCTCAGAAAAAACATATAAACTCTATGTCCTAGCCACGTGTCTAGGACATTAATAGTATTAGGGAATCAACAGTATCTGAACAGCTTACAGAACAGGATCAAATAAAATGTTTTTCAAAATGCTTTATATGCTGTCACATAAACACATGGGTTCTAGAACCAGAACCATCACCCAGCTGTGTGACTTTGGAAAGCTGACTTAAACTCTCCATGCCTCAGTTTCCTCCACTGTGAAGTGAGGATGGGGACAAAGGTGCAGCATTGGCGTGTAACAGTCAGACGTTGGAGAGCACTTGAGAATACATGTGCCCAGGTATGCTGCCACCGTCACGCGTGGCCAGGCTCAGAACGCGCGAGCTACACTCCAGCTCAGCATATGCTGTGTTACTCCTGAGAACTCTTCATATAATTTTTAAACATAAAAACTAGAGCAAACCGTTAAAGAAATCCAAACATGAGTCTCTTTATCTTTTAAAAGTGAATATATAACAAATAAGACTCTTAAATCCTTAGAGGTTTTATGCATACCTCATTTTGATTTAAAAAAATGTTTGTCCTTTTCCCCTTAAGACAAAGGACACTTTTTTCTCACCTATATTTAAAGTCCAGAAGAATTCTGTGGTGAAGCAGTAAGAGTGAATTGACTTTTTAAAAAATCAAACTGCGCAACTCAAAGTTTTTTATAAATGGAGAGGGGGCTGTTAAAAAGTTCATATTTTTCTTTTTATCCTCTTTTCATCAGCTCTCTCTCAATCAATGGAAGTATTGTAAATATAAAACTTATTTGGCCAAAATTCTAAGACCCTGCAGTGTTTAAATGGAATATTTCTTAAAACTCAGACACTGAAGCCTCATTAGATGTTCATGCATAAACACTTCCACAGCAATATCTGAATCTGGAATCACATTAGAATTTTGGAATTTGGTGTTGTTTTTGCAATTTTACTTATCAAATAGGGTTAAGTGCTAATTAAAAACATGCAAGATTATACTGATATTCCAAAATATGCATCAACATAATAAATGTTTATCTAATGATGATCTGACCCTCCAGCTCTCAATATGCCTAATTTCTACCACAGGATATAGTAAACATTTGCTTCTTCTATTTCTAGGATTTGGGATCTTTCTTGGTAAATCAAATATAGATTTTTGTAGTTGTCAATCCAAATAACCATTTAAAAGTTTGAAAAAAGTCAATCTACAATCATTTCAAAACAAGAAACTTTCTTTGTACCACTTAACAGTTACAAAAAGACTTAGAACTACTAATGTTAAGTTGCAATTATATTTTGTTATTGTGTCATCCAAAGCTCTGAATTTGTTTTAAACTTTGTTCTCATGGACTTCCATAATTTCATAGCATTTTGTTTCTAATGTCCACAGCGAGTGGTTTCTCCATGCTCATTCCATCCCAGCAGAACTAGGAGAGGTCTTGAAATATTGGATTTGTGTATTTGAGGATGGCAGCTTTCCTTTGAGTAGAAGAATTTTCATGTTCCAGCTGTGAGCTAATGACTTCTAGAAACACTAGAATCTCAATACCTTGTAGAAGTTACAGCTTGTTCTTATAAGCAGCATTTCTAATTGTCTGAAAAAAATGTGCCATAAAATATTTACTCTATAATGTTAATTTAAACAGTTTTTATAATTTTTTTGTTAATCCTGAATGTTTCTATTAGGCATGAAATTTGGGCATAAAAATATTACCATACCAATCACAGTGTGATTTTACATCAGCAACAGAATATTTAGAAAACAGGAAACAAAGGAGCCAGGGGAAAATGGCAAATTGGAAAGGTCAAAAGAGATTATGAGGTGTCCTTTCAGTGGAGGGCTGGGCACTGTCAGACCCACCTTGATAATCTGTTTCTCAAGAGTTCATCTTTGATTGTCTGTCTAGGCTATCTCACAACCCGTGAATTTCAGTTGTAGAAAACTACAGTGATACGCGTGATTTTTCCCATTACAATTAAAATGACACTTATTCAACAGAGATATAACTGGTTAATACATAGTAGAAAAGATGACCCCAAGCATTATATTTTTTATTGTATAGGATATTAAGCAGTTTTGCACAAAGTAGGAAACTTGTTTAAGTATTCCTGATTGCCTACACACATACACATACACACACACACACACAAATAGTGTGTATATGTATCTGTTCTTCAAATTTTCCTTAAAACCAGTTTTAATCTCTTACTAGTCTCCTCATTAATTAGTAAGTTAAATAAAATCTTTATCTTGTGTTCATTTTATATTAGTACCATAGTCATGATTTTACATTTTTGAAAGTTATATTTTAGCAGAGCTCTTTCCTAATATGAAGCAAATACATTTGAAGAAAAGAAAAATGTTATTGTGAAAATGTTTGCCAATTTTAGACTGATTTTAGCCAAATTTGGGGTCAAACAGATGGGACTATCCAAATTGCTCGTGAATGTGAGTGAGGTGATAAATCAGGTTTTAGAAAATCCTTAATCTCCAAATGATACAAAATTGAATATATTAAGGATTAAAACAAAATTAAGATCTTCATAGATCAGCAAGTTTATTCTTTGTAGTTCTCTGAATCATGCAATGAACCTGGAATATCTGGATTAACAGGTACTGGAAGTGTGTTACCATACTAAATAACCTTCCTCAAAGCAATTTCTGGCCAATAGAAGACCAGAAGCATCCAGGCATTAGAATATGTTTGATTTGTGAAAGAGAAAAAAACACAGATGCACACCATGCAAACACAAATGCACAGACATAATGCTTGCAAATTGTTCAAGTCTCAAGCAATACAATGTATCACACTTAGTTAAAACTTAGAGAGAATGAGAATGAATTATCAGACACTTTTTGCAACAGCCTGCCCCCTAAAAGAAACATCGAAATAATACGTACAGTCTGGGCTAGTTTCAAACTCAAACTTGCGACTGTTGGTCCCATATCCAGCTGCTGTTCGGGCTCGGATTTGGAAGACATACGTCGTGTCAGGCTTGAGGCTACTGATGGTAACATTCGTGCCTCTTGCCCTCAGAATGGTATAACTTGTCTCTTGCTCCTGCTTTGAGGCAAGAAAAATCATGTTAAAATCAAATCTTCCTAACGGTATCAACTGGTAAGAAGGTGACCCACTCAAAACCAATTCTTTTAAATTTTAACCCGGAGCATAGGACAGATAAAAGAGACATGACAATCATTTCACTGTCTGAATGCAATAGAGGCATTGTTTTAAGCTAAAACTATTTATAGAATGTCCTAATTTGAAGATAAGGATTGCGCCCTGCACATTTAGCAGGAAAAGTCAGGTTTCATTCTTACCAATTAGCAAATATGTGAGTGAAAATACGTTCTCTTCAAAGTCAAGGCTGAATGAAAGCTTCAATCTAATTCCAAGAATAAACTTACAAAGAGGAAAAAAACCCTTTGAATTAAATTTAATAGGAATGCCCTACTGATTCTCAGAAAACATGTCTATAAGTTGTAAAATATTAAACTTAAAAAGGCCCAGGTTTTATCTATAGCTCTATGTTAATAACTTTCTCAGCATCAATTATATTTGCACTGTATTTAATCTAAGTCATTGTGGTTTAGTAGAGACAAACATCTTCAGATCAAAGTATAGAACTATTTCCCGAAAAGGATCCTCTAGGTGATTTACAATGTACATTAGCAGATTCACACCACACATTAATAGTAAAGTCTTTTTGAGTCAAGTCTCGCTTACAAAAATTGGACTTACACAGATTTGTGATTTTCCTCTAATGCATATTAATATGTAGTGAGCACTCCACAGGTAACCTGATTTCAAGTGGAGGTAGAATGTCCCGGCACCTGGGGTGGGGCCTCGAGGGGTACATGGAACAACACATCTCCTCAACCAACACCAGATAGAATATTGCAGGAAAAATGCAGTACATCACAGATACATTTTAGTTAAAGATGTTGGTTATGTATCAGATATCATTTGAATTAATGTATTAAATAATAAAGAGTCAAATATATTTAATTTACAGAAATAATTATTTTACTTGTTAAAAAAAATTATTGAGGATGTACCCAGAACTTGGCTCTGTTTATCATCATTAGTGATCTAAACAATCAAGAAAGCTGGACCTTGTAGAGCTTAAATTCTAGTGAAACGTTAAAAATATTTCCAAGCATCAGATACACATTTGGGAATGATTTTAAAATTTACATATGGATGATATAAAAAGTATTTATATATGTATATATTAAAAATAATATTACATGTATGTATGTATCAAATTTAAAAATGTCTAGAGAATAATCAATAGATTCAACGGTTTTTTCACGTATTGGTTAATATTGTTTAAAAATAAGGAAGTATATTGTGTTTTGTTGATGGAGTTTGAAAAAAGTTCAGAAAATTTTTTATGTTTGGAAAGATATGAATGTAGATTAATTGTACTTTTCAAATAGCCCCATAGATCTAAAGGTTGGGTGTTCTCTGGTTCTGCTATCAAGTCTGAACTGAGGCACACTATTAATTTCTTTTTATTTTGTTGCATCATCTATAAACCATGGATTCTTATATTTGTCCAGTCTATCTCATCACACTTTTAAAAATAGAAGATCGTGATCAGGTAAGTATCTGACAGTACCACAGTGCGTAACGAAAACTAGAAGGTATCGTGTACTACGATTTTGGCACAATGAGGCCGATTAGGCCTCATTTCTTGTAATGAAAGAGACATATCATTTCCCTGCGGGGGGCAGTAGGAAAAAAAATGGCATAATACTTGTGAAATACATTAACTTCAAAAAAGAGAATAACTACATAAAGCAAAGTAATGTTCATACATGATGCCGTTTTGCACAACTGATCACATCACTAATTCCCTTGTCTCTAATGATCCATTCTCATGTTGAACGAGGTATGTAATACAGGAGAAACGTACTACAGGAGGAGTCATGGCTGCCAGGATTCATAACAGAGACCTAACGTGTACTAGCACTCAGCTGAGACATTCAAATAATGCCACGGACTCGCAGTTTCCTTATTTGTGAAAGAACCTATTTGCCCAGTTTCATAGGATTATCAGACAGCTCAAAATTAATGTGTGCAGAAGTAAATATAAACTGCTACATAAACACACAATTTGTTTTTAATTCGCTTTAAAATACTTTGTAAGCTGCAGCAGATACACAAATTGATGTGTTCATATTAGTAGCTAAAAAACCACCCAGCTCTGATGATAAGGTTTGAATACATCTTGCTTTCAAACCTCACCATAATTTATAACCAGGGAGAATTAAGTGCTATTTAGAGTGATGAAATATCACTGCCTAAATTCTACTTATAAACAATTATGTACCTATTTCTCATAATTGCATTACTGAACCACAATTTTATGACGTGAGGCAAACTTATCCGCCCACTCTCACCTTCTAAATTTCTTTGTACAGAGTCAAGAAAGCTTTTCATCGTCAATGCAATAACACAATCGTTCGATGTGTGTATCTGTACTGAATGAAATTCAAGTGAATGTGAAGGTCAGGAAATGGTGCTCAAGGCGACGGAAGAAGGAATAGTCCATCAATAGATTAAGGAACCACTATAAAACAGTGGGTAGACAGGAGTCTCGGTGCAGAAGGACATGACATCTAGTCATGGCATTAGAAATAACTAGACTAGATGGCACTACGTTTGGTAGTGACATCTTTGTTGTGGCTTATTGTTGTAGAATGAGGGATATCAGACAATGATTTCAAAACTCCCTCTACCTGTAAATCAAAGGTATCACATGACCAGAGTTCTAAACAGAGCTTTACTACTTCCTAGCAACGCCATTGGTTTCTTGGCAAGAGCACAGCTCCTGAGAAGGTAACTTCTTTCCCTTCACATTCCAACCCTTTAACATTGTCTCCCCACCTTTTCATAGTATTTGACCTCGTAGTCCAATATGATCCCATTAGGGTGTTCAGGTTCTTGCCAGGATAAAGAGATGCTGTTTCTGGATGTTCGATCCTTCTTAATCGTCATGACAGGTGATGGAGCTGTAAAGAGAGGATAGGAAGGAATGGTGGGAGGAGGCAAATTAATCAGGTTGGGAAGAGTGGTAAAGAAGAGCAGAGAGAGGGCCGGCCCCGTGGCTTAGCAGTTAAGTGCGAGTGCTCTGCTGCGGGCGGCCCGGGTTCGGATCCCGGGCGCGCACCGACGCACCGCTTCTCCGGCCATGCTGAGGCCGCGTCCCACATACAGCAACCAGAAAGATGTGCAGCTATGACACACAACTATCTACTGGGGCTTTGGGGGAAAAATAAATAAATACAATTATAAAAAAAAAAAAGAAGAAGAGCAGAGAGAGGAGGGAACAAGCAAATGGAGTCTGTCATTGTTCTAATCTTTGGCAAGAAAGCACTATTTCCATTTCAAAGGCTCTGGAGTATTAATCTGGCCCCATATCAAGCCTCAGCAGCTGGATTATAGCCCTGGTACATACAGGCCTATGGAAAATGAGCTAAGATTTTCAGCTGCTGGTGGACTAGTGGCAAGTGAGCAGATGTTTCCAATCTGCTACTATAATGTAAGCAATGAAATATATTTGATGTATTAAAAAGAGAACAAAACATCAGGACAACCTATTTGTTATAATGTTGCAAAGTTATTAATGCCAGATTCTTCAGCTCATTGATAACATTTTCATATGCAACTCTATAAGAGGACTGGAATCCATTACACACAAGAAGTCCCATGGTATCTACAAGTAATAGTAATATTTAGTGTATTGTAAAATAGATAGGATTTAGAATATATCTAAAGGTCTTGACTTCTGATAAAAATCTCTCATGAATAAAAATATATCTTAGAAAACAATACTCTGCTTTTACATTTTTATTTCTTAAAAACACATTTAATAAGAAGTACCAAGGAAATGGCTGCTCTTTGTGCCCCCCTCTCTAGATATATTCTGAGGTGTCTTATTGGGTGGTGACTCTATACTTGTTATGTTTTGCTATGCATTATCAAAAGTATAGAATTTGAATAAAAAACCATCTGTTTGGATCAAATATCATAGGGTCACCTTCATTTCTAATGGAAGATCAAATATATTTTAAGTGATATCCTACTCCAAATCCTTCCATTAAAAAGAAAAATGCATGCTATCCATCAATGCACTCCTGGGTTCAGATCTCAATCTTGGTACACTGGCCAACCAACCATCTCATTCTGCCCTAATGGAATGCAGCAAAATAAATTACAAACATGAAACAAACAAAAATCAAGAATTCTTAGGTATATTAACTGTTGAATTATTTTCACTGCAAAAGGACGTACACGCTTATGGGTTTTTCTCAAGTCAGGGACTGTTAGAACCCTGCGCATCTGTATTCCCCACAACAGCCAGCAGTAAAAGTCCCATATTTGTTGACTTGAGGTTTCTGTGATTATCACATGCCAACTTTCACATCCAGCCTTTCATTTAAATCGTTCCTGTCTACAAATGCCTTTCATTTCTATTCCTTATTTAAAAACAGAGCTTTCGTTAAGCTTGCCTTGTGACACTTCACTGGAAAATATAAACCTAAAGGAAGAATCTACTGCAACAAAGGTCCCATCCTCCTATTTCCATTGTTGGTAAGATCTTCTCATGAACTCTTTTGTAATTAAAGCATCATTTCTTTAATGACAAGAGAATGACGACTGCACCTTTTGCCAAGGACAAATGTAGGTGATGCTTTCCTGATGGAAAAGTAAATTCATTTTCTTATTCACATTTTGCTCCCATTAGGAATTAATATCCTTTCATGGAACTTAAACTTTTATGTTTACTTTTCCTCTATTCAATTTTATTGTTTTATTTCCCAAATTGGCCTCACAACACTTCTACCCCGCTGTGGTGGTTTGCTGCTCTGAAATTGATTCTAAGCGAAGTATCATTTATTTTGGTTAGGTTTAGTTGAAATTTTATAAACATACTCAATGTTTATAAACATATCACCAAGTTACGAATAAATAACAGATATGTTAATTTTTTGAGAATTATTTTCTTTTACTTACTCTAATACTTAGAAAAATCAAGTCATTATCCAATTGCTAATTGAAAAATTGCAGCCCCAATGTCCTTGGAACCAAATTTTGCTTTTGTACAAAAATGGAAAAATTCTACTAATTTTCCCGCTGAAGTAAATCCTTTAATAGAGTAACTTTTAATGTATGCTTTCAGAGCATTTCAAGGAAGCTTAATGTTGGAACACTTTCCTAGTAAACCCATGGAGACCCTACATTCGTTCCATGGCACCGTGAAACTGATTTATTTCTCCTAACACTTAAATATTTTTAAAGGAGTTTTGAAAATTACCACATTCAGCACCGTCCTTAAAAAAGAAGAGAAAATAATTCATTTCAAAGAACAATTGTGACGAGGATTGTATTAACTATTTAATGAAAGTTCTGAAGTCTGTTTTGGGAATCTGCCCAAATTTTACTGCTTCTGCACTGAGCAAGACTTTATAACTGCTGAAATTCTTCAAAGGTCTTTGAGCAAGCTGCAGGGCCCTGTTGGACTGTAATAAATAGCCTTTTGTAATTCCACACTTACTTAAGTAGAGGCAATTGCTCGAAGCTTGTGCCATCTCTAAGGTAAATGAACCTTTTCTGATTGCTGCTTTTAGGCCCCTGTTAAGTCATTTGTTCTGCTCTTTTAATACACGCCCCTTGTGTTGGCTGCATTTCAGCAGTTTCAACCCAGTGCACCAGTTGGAATTCCGTTACATTTAGGTAATGCTCATCAATAGTTTAATATTAATAAATAATTAACAAAGATTGTTTTTCTCTCCCCTAATAAATAATTTTAAGACATAATAAAACATACTGCAGAAAGAGACAAATTCCATGGGCACTCCACTGTATCCGTGCTTTCTAAAAGGTTTTCTAGAACACTTTTTAATTCATGTCTTGAAGTATAATTTATACATATGTCCGCATGTGCTGTAATACGATTTGTAATATTAATGAGAAAAAGTGATATGGATTACATTTCTTTTAGTTAGTTTTCAGGTATCAAAGTGTCATTTGTTCCAAGTACTAATTTCCAAAATCCATAGAAGTTCTTTAAATTTATTTTTTTCTCTACAAAGGAACACGATACTGCATGTATAATATAAAGTAGATTTGGTCTATTTTATTCTTACTCCTCTGCTTCTTAAATTTGTGATTTGAAAGAATAGTAGGTAATAGTCACATGGAATGAAAAAAAATCTAACTTAAGACTAAAGAAATGCTCAGAACTAGAGTAAAACGTTTCACAGGACGAGAAGGCACAGCATTTCCCTGGCGCAATGCTAGTACCTAAGCTAAAATAGCTTACTGCTCTCACGGCTGAGCACGCCAACAGCCCAGGCTTAAGAGTTTTAATCTGGTGATTCTTCTACACACCTTAAAGCGATCTATTTATAAAATCATTCTGCCGTGAAGAGGAAGAAGTTGATGACAAAGTAGGCTACTATGGTCCCAGCATTTACACAAGTTAGTAAAGGAACAGTTTCACAGTGAAAAAAAAATGAAGAAACTGATAACAAGAAAAATTTAAACAGCAGGAAGGTAATAGTTTTTAGTAAGCTAATGGTTCTCTTTAAAATAATGTCTTGGTGTGTGCAACACAGTTTTGTTGTGTTGGGATTTGAGGGAGCAAGTATTTGATCCTTAGCTTTTCCTATTCTGGGTACAACCGGACATACGTGCCCTTCGGAAAACAAAGGAGACATGATATACTGGGTATAGCGAAATTTATTATATTTTAACTGAAATATTTCTTAAAAGAATACAAATACAAGAGAAAAATAGCGATGGTTGGGAGGAATCGGCAGCCTCATACATCACACAGTTCATCGTTTTGCATGAAGCTTTCCTGAACTTCCACTGCACTACTGAGAAGTTTGAACACTCCAAGTACAAACACAGTTCTTAACTTGTGGTGGCCCAGTGGACTTGCTCATGCTCCCAATTCATTCCTCTTTAAAGTTTTTCTTTAGTTATGCATAAGACTAGACAGATATTTTCACCCTATCTCATCTATTAATATGTGTTTTGTGAAAGCTGGTATCAAATGCTTTTCAATTTTTCTTCTAAGGAGATGTAACTCTCTGGGAACCAAGGGTTAACTTGTTTACTGGGTGTTTTCATCCCTAGTTCCAGTCGCTGCAGTGGCAGCCTCTTGAATCAGAAATGTGCAGTGACTAGTCCAGAAGACAGAGACAGGGAAGTATAACCTTAATAGTTGATCATTGAACCCCAATCATTTATTTATAGAGTAAGGGCAAGATTTTCTCTCATAATCAACATAATCTGAGCCATTGACTGCATCTAATGAAATAATAGAAAAATAAATTACAATAGGGAAGCAAAAATATTAGGCTAAAAAATGTTTCTATGTAAAGGGATCAGGTTAGAGACGGAGCTTGTGCCATTCACAATCTGTAGTTGAATCACACTTGACATGCGTGTATACCAAATCTACTGACAGACAGGGAAGGGGTTCGTTATTTTAACTACAGTGTTTTTAAGCTACAGTTACCGTTATTCTGCAACTAAAATATGACCCATCATTACAATCAGGAAGTCAAAACTTCAAAATTCAACTCCTACAGGATCTGGCTTGGTTCGTTTGTTTTTATTGGGACTTTCCTCTTTCTGGGTTTGGGAATTTCTTTTTTTTTTTTTTTTTTTTTTTGTGAGGAAGATCAGCCCTGAGCTAACATCCATGCTAATCCTCCTCTTTTTTTTTGCTGAGCAAGACCGGCCCTGAGCTAACATCTATCGCCAATCCTCCTCCTTTTTTTTCCCCCAAGGCCCCAGTAAATAGTTGTATTTCATAGTTGCACATCCTTCTAGTTGCTGTATGTGGGACTCTGCCTCAGCATGGCCGGAGAAGTGGTGCATCAGTGCGTGCCCGGGATCCGAACCCGGGCCGCCAGTAGCGGAGCGTGCGCACTTAACTGCTAAGCCACGGGGACGGCCCAAGGGTTTGGGAATTTCTAATGAACCTCTGAGGTAT